TTTACCCATTTGTTCTAGGTTGTCCAATTTGTTGGCATATAATTTTTCAAAATATTCTCTTATAATTGTTTGTATTTCTGTAGTGTTGGTTATTTCTCCTCTCTCATTTATTATTTTATTTATTTAGGTGCTTTCTTTTTTCTTTTTGATAAGTCTGGCTAGAGGTTTATCAATTTTATTAATTTTTTCAAAGAACCAGCTCCTGGTTTCATTGACCTGTCCTATTGTTTTTTGTTCGTTGTTGTTTTTGTTTTTTTAGTTTCTATCTCACTTATTTCTGCTCTGATCTTCATTATTTCCTTCCTTCTGCTGGCTTTAGGCTTAATTTATTGTCTTTTCTAGCTCCTTTAGGTGTAAGGTTAGGTTGTTTATTTGAGATTTTTCTTACTTCTAGAAGTAGGTCTGTGTTGCTATATACTTCTTTCAAATGATTGCTTTTGCTGCATCCTAAAGGTTTTGGACTGTCGTGTTTTCATTTTCACTTGCTTCCATGTGTTTTTCTTTAATTTCTTTGATTTCTTGGTTGACCCATTCATTCTTTAGTAGGATGTTGTTTAACCTCCACGTATTTGTGGTCTTTTTAGATTTTTTTCTTTTGTTGGCTTTTAGTTTGATAGCGTTGTGGTGAGAAAGGATGCATGGTATGATTTCATTCTTTTTGTATTTGTTGAGGCCTGTTTTGTGATCTAATACATGATCTATTTTGGAGAATGTTCTGTGTGCACCTGAAAAGAATGTGTATTCTGCTGTTTTAGGATGGAATGTTCTGAATATATCTGTTAAACCCATCTGTTCCAGTGTGTCATTCAAAGCCATTGTTTCCTTGTTGATCTTCTGTTTAGATGATCTGTCCATTGATGTAAGTGGGGTGTTAAAATCCCCTACTATTATTCTGTTATTATCAATGAGTTCCTTTATGTTTGTTATTAATTGTTTTATGTATTTGGGTGCTCCTGTGTTGGGTGCATAAATATTTACAATTGGTATATCTTCTTGTTGGATTGTCCCCTTTATTGTGGTATAATGCCCTTCTTTATCTCTTGTTACAGTCTTTGTTTTAAAGTCTAGCTTGTGCAATACAAGTATTGCTACTTATACTTACTGGTGTGGGCTGAGGTTTGTGCTAATCTTCTGGGGGAGGGGCCTGCCATACTGGAACTGAGGCAAGTGTGATCGAGAAGGGCAGTCTAGCCAGAGTGCAGGGGTGCGGGGCCTTGTGTAAGCAAGTTAGGTAGCCAGGGTCAGCACTGTGCTGCTTCCTGCAGGTTGCTCTGTGTTTATGCTGAGGGGTCGGGAGGAAAAAGGCTTCAAACAGCTCTTTTGTTCCTGGAGAGGTGTCTCTGTGAATAATGCCTCTCAGGGACACCCAAGAAGAGCTGATAATCTCCCCCACTGTATGCCCCAGGTGTTCTTCAGACTGCTGTTTCCATACTGTCTGCCCCCCCCCCCACCCTGGGTTGTTTGCCTGCCTTCTCTCCAAGAGCAGCACAGTGCCCTCTGGGCTGTTTCTCAGCCAAGCCTGCTGACCTTTAAAACTCCAGGCTTTAAGCTCTGCTGGTTGCAAGAACCCTTGAAATTCAGCCCCTCCTGATTTCCAAGCCAACGGCTTTGGGGAGTTCTTGTGTGTTCCTCCGTGTGCTCCTCTTTGTCTCATCCTTCTCCGTAAACATGGCTCCTTCCCCTCCATAGCAGCCATGGTACATTTCTTCCGTAACCACATCTCCCTAATTCCTACCTTCTTCGATGTGGCCTCTTCTCTCCCTTTGGTTATGGAGTTTGTTCTGTCAGTCTTCAGGTTGATTTCCGGGGTATTTAAGATGATTTGATAGTTATCTAGTTCCGTTCATAGGATGAAGTGAGTCTAGGGTCCTTCTAGGGGACCCTAACCCTAACCCTCTCTGCTTCTTCCAGCCTGCTGTTCATTCCATCAAGGGTGTTGCTCATTTCATTTATTGAGCCCTTTATTTCTGGTATGTTATTCCTTATATCTGTGTTAATGGTCTCACTGAAGCCCTCCACTCTTTTCTCGAGTCCAGTAAGTATTCTTATGACCATTGTTTTAAATTCTCCATCAGACATGTTATTTATATCTGTTTTGCTTAGATCTCTGGCCATGGCTTTGTCATGTTCTTTCATTTCGGATAAATTTCTTTGTGTTCTCATTTTGTCTAAGTCTCTGTGCCTGTTTCTTTGTGTTAGGAAGGTCAGCTAAGTCTCCTGTTCTTGAGAGTAATGGCCTTATGAAGAAGAGGTCCTGTAGTGCCTTGCAGTGCAGTGTCCCCTCCTCCCCACAGCCAGGCACTTCTGGAATGCCTCCACTGTGTGCTGCATGTGTTCTGCTCTTGAGTACTGGCCACTTTAGACCAGTCATCTGCATAGGATCTCTTTGCCTGTTGTGGACAGTGTTTGGCCCTGACCTAAATGCAGTGTGTGTGTGTGTGTGTGTGTGTGTGTGTGTGTGTGTGTGTGTTTAAAGATTTTATTTATTTATTTGACAGAGAGAGACAGCAGAGAGGGAACACAAGCAGGGGGAGTGGGAGAGGGAGTTGCAGGCTTCCTGCCAAGCAGGAAGCCCAATGCGGGACTCGATCCCAGGACCCTGGGATCATGACCCGAGCCTAAGGCAGATGCCGAACAACTGAGCCACCCAGGTGCCCCTAAACGCAGTGTGTTTTAACTAGGTGTGCACTGGTCTGCTTGTGAAATGAGACCTGCTGCCACCAGAACCAAGGCTCTGCGAAACTCCCAGGTGGGAGACAAAGTTTTCAATTAGCAATAATTGCACCTCGGATAAACCTCATTGGCTACGATACTGCCACTGCGCAAAGCTTCAGGTGGGAGACAAAGTATTGGCAGGAGTTTGGGCCAGTCTTCTTGGGGAGGGGTCTCACTGCATTGGGACTAAGGCAAATGTGACTGGGAGGGGCAGTTCCACAGGAGCATGTGTGGGGGGAGCAGATCTTGGTGTAAGCAAGTTAGGTAGTGAGTGTCTGCTCTGTGCTGGTTCCCACCAGTGTGCTTATGCTGAGGGGAGGGAGTGGGAAATGGAACTGGCCAGTTCCTTTGTTCCCAGAGGGGTCTGTCCATAAATGGCTACCTTTTATGGGATGTGCTCTGAAATGAGCAAATAACCTCCCCACTGCATGCCCCAGACACTCTTCAGATCACTATGTCCATGCTGTATGTTCCTGGGAGGTTTGCCTGCCTTCTCTCCGGTAGCAACCCCAACGCCCTCTGGGCTCTATCCCAGCCAAGCCTGCTGACCTTTAAAATTCCAGACTTTAAGCCCTGCTGGTTGCAAGAACTCATGAAATTCAGTCCCTCTCTCTTTCCAAGCCAATTGCTGTGGGGATTCATTTTCCCTGTGCGCTAGTCTGTTTCTTGCCCTTCTCTGTGACTGGGTCTCTCTCTCCACCATAGTGGCCACGATCTGTTTCTCTTCCAAACTGTGTCTTTCCCCATTTCCTACTTTCCTGATGTGACCTCTTCTCTACCTTTAGTTGTGGAGTTTGTTCTGCCAAACTTCTGGTTGATTTCTGGGGTATTTAGGATGACTGATAATTATCTAATTGTATTCATGGGACAAGGCAAGACTAGGGTCTTCCTACTCTGCTGCCATCTTCCCCTCTCTCTGGGCATATTTCTGGGCTCATTATTTTGCTCCATTGATCTATATGTCTATCCCTTTGCTAATGTCATATTGTTTTGATTACCATAGCTTTACAGTAATTCTTAAAATAAGGTAGTGTGATTGCTCCAACTTGATTATTCTTTTTCAAAATTGCTTTAGCTAGGGGTGCCTGGGTGGTTCAGTCAGTTAAGCATCTGATTCTTGGTTTTAGTTCAGGTCCTGATCTCATGGGTCATGACATTGAGCCCTGTGTCAGGCTCTGCACTCAGTAGGTCTACTTTGATATTCTCTCCCTCTGCCCCTTCTCCCACTTGTGCTCTCTCTCTCTCAAATAAATAAATTAAATCTTTTTAAAAAATTGTTTTAGCTATTCTATTTTGTTTGTTTCCCTTATAAATTTTAGCATCAGCTTATCTATATCTACAGAAAAAAATCTTGCTGAGATTTTGATAAGAATTGCGTTAAATTGGGGCACCTGGGTGGCTCAGTTGTTGGGCATCTGCCTTTGGCTTGGGTCATTACCCCAGGGTCCTGGTATCGAGTCCAGCGTCGGGCTCCCTGCTTGGCAGGAAGCCTGCTTCTCCCTCTCCCACTCCCCCTGCTTGTGTTCCCTCTCTCATTGTGTCTCTCTCTGTCAAATAAATAAATAAAATCTTTAAAAAAAGAATTGCATTAAATTTATAATTAATTTTGAATAGAATTTATATTTTTATATGTTGAACCTTCCAATCCATGAACATGGTATATTTATTTTTAGGTGTATTTAGGTCTTCTTTTAATTCTTTCATGAGCATTTTATAGTTTTCAGCATACAGATCTTATACATGCTTTGTTAGATTTATACTTAAGTATTTCACTTTTGGAGGGTTATTGTAAATGTATTATTTTTAGATTTTTTTCATTCCCAAATGTACACTAATAGTATATAGAAATATGATCTATTTTTGTTATTATTGACCTTATATCCTTTGATGTTGCTAAACTTACTTATTAGTTCTATATGGTTTTTGGAGATAATGTTCATATTTCACTGAATTCAACTTGCTAATACTTTGTGTTGAATTTTGCATCTGTGGTCCCAAGAGATAATTGGTTTATCATTTCTCGTAATTTTTTGCAATGTCTTTGTCTGGCTTTGATATGAGAGTAACACTGGCCTCATAGAATAAGCTGGTAAGTATGCCTTTCTCTTCAATTTTTGTTAAGAGTTTGTGTAGAACAAACATTTCTTTCCTAAATGGCAGAATTCACCAGTGACAATCTGAGCCTGGTGTATGTCTGTATGGGGGAGTTCATTATAAATTAAAAATATAAGGATATTCAAGCGATCTATTTTTTTTGTCACACAAAGGAAACTTTATTTGTAGCAAATAAGGAGATCACAGGGGAATAACTTCAAAGTGGTGACTCCCCAAATGGGGGTGAGTGAGTTTCTTTTATTTAAGGATAGGATGAATACTCAGAAAAGGAAGTTTTGTCATCACATGTAGAGGTGTGTATAAAGCAACTGATGCTTACTTAGGAAACATGCTTATACATGTACTGTATGTTATGTTAATGAGGTTTATGTTCCTCCTTGAGTGGAGATTTTAACATTATTATGAGGTAGAGGTGACTATTGGACACTCCATGCTCTCTCTGCACAGGTGTGAGTGGGTGGCTGAGCTCAAACTGGTTTAGGCTGGCTGGAGCTCTTCCTGTTGTTTACCTCTAAAAGATAAGGTTAACATTCCTGTGAAGAAGAAGAGAGGGTCATTGGGGACCTTTCTGATGACAGTTTTAACCTCATTGACCCCATGGAGCATGGTTTCAATCTCCCCTAGATTTATGATCATTCCTCAGTTTTGAAGGAATTGGGACAATGACCACTCTGGCTATTTTCTGCTAAAATGGAATGAAGTTTTGGAGTTTGAGGAATAAAACAACTTTGCACTTTGTTGGAAATCTACCCTGGTACTTGGCTAACCATGTACATTTTGCATGGCCAAAATATTTGGAAAGCACATTTCATTATTACATATAACCCAAATTTTACTAGTCCTTGTAACATTGATTTAATCCTTTGGGGATTCCAGAAAAAGGGTTCAGTATTTAGTATGATTAACTTGTTCCCAGTATAATGTAGTTCTCTAACTTAATTTATCATAACTGGGGGTTATCTATAAGAATCTAATATCTGGAATAAATTTCTATCAAAAGTTCTTGTGGTGTGGTTACAGATTAACATTCTCTCCTTTGACAAGATTTTTCTTAGAAAAACAACATAGATCAACATTCTTTTCTCTTAGCTGGAACTTAACTGTTCTGTTCTGGACCATAGGTGAGAAATTTGCTCCATATCTTATGAACCGGTCTTAGTCTTGAAAATAGGTTAGTTTAACAGTTGTCTCATTTCAGGAGGCAGTCTTGCAGGTGGGCTCTCAAAATTAGGTCTATACTGTGCAAGCAATCAGGTAATTAATGAGACATCTCTATGGAAACAAAAGAAAAACACAGATTAATGACTGGAGCAAATTATAAACCCAGTGTCTGAGTCCTGAGTGTTGCCAGTGAAATACTTCTAGATGTGGGGTTGGAAGCATCCTCACTGGGAGTGGGAGCAGGCAGTGGCAATCTGATGGATTGTTTCTTGTTTGAACTTATTTGAACTCAAATGTCTCTAGTGATCTGAGTGGCCAATACAACAATAGGCATGAAGATTGTGTAAACATGGGGTGTCTGGGTGGCTCGGTCGGTTAAGTGACCAAGTCTTGATTTCAGCTCCAGTTGTGAGCTCAGGCCCCACGTTGGAGCAGTCTGCTTGAGATTCTCTTTCTCCTTCTGCCCCTCCCCGTGCTTCTGCGTTCTCTCTCTCTCAAATAAATAAATAAAATCGTAATAAAAAGGTTGTGTAAACATGGGCCAGTGAGGCAATTTCTCTGAAATTTACCTTAAGTTGTCTAGCTTCAGTTTTCAGGGCTTCAGGAAAAAGGGCAGTTTTAGGTCTCAGTGATTCCAAATCAAGAGAGTGAAAGAAAATTGGAAACTTTAGTTTGGAGAGTTATAGCCAGATATTCAAGGAAACCAGAAGAATTCAGGATCCAGCCCAGTTTTATAGGAAACAACAAACAAAGATAATTAATCAGAACTAGAATCTAACATCTACAAAGATGTGTTATTGAAACAATTTTTCTCTAAAATCACTCATTTCTGTCAAAGATAGCCAAATTAAGGCTATTTTTGTTTGTAAAACAAATCCAATTTTAACAGATTTTACCTATTTACATACGTGTAGCAAGAATAGTGATTGGCCATATAGGTTTCTTTAAATCTACTTTGCTGGAACTTTTCATAAGGAATTTTAGATTGAACTTTTAATAGCCTCTCAAAGCTAAGAAGCCAAGCCAAATACTTGCCATCAGACTCACTTGCAATACCTATAAATTTGGGTTACTTCTTCTTTTCCTGAGGACCCCAAAACATCCTGAGGTTCCTGCACCTGCCAAAAAGGACATTTTTTACTCACATGATAAAGCTGCTGGGAATTCTGTAAGCAAGGTATCAAGCCAACATTTCCAAGGGGCTTTATTGGCTTCAAAAAGTCAACCTTAGTTCTTTAAAGCTGTCTGGTCATATCTGAATCTATGTAAGTCTCTCTCAAATATGACATTCCGGTCAAAGTCTTAGTAATATAACCAGTGTTTCCAATGGTGTTCTGCTCAAGGAAAGCAGATTCTTATTGAACATATGCAAATAACTACAATTGCCATGAAAGAAAGAATACTCAATGAGAGTTTCTGAATTTTGGAGGGCTCAGGTAGGGAGAAAAGATAAATAAATGTTCCAATTTGTTCACAAAGGAATATTTTACCAAATTTCTGTAAGTCATAGATAGCTTAAGATAAAATGTTTGTTTTTTAAATCTAGAAGAACAAACATTAGAGAACCAGCAATGTTTTATACAAAAGTGATAAAAACTATGATCATCTTTCTCAAATCATTTAGTCCCATGTTACTAATTCTTATTCTGTTTGAATGCAGTTTTTTCATTAGTTCCAGAAATTCTTACTCAGTTTAGTTATATAATTTTAAGGGGATCAAAAACCTGTATTTGTTGAAAGTCCTTCCCATGAATCTCCTTGAAGCTGAAACATTTTTGCAAGAGCATCAGAACAATAACTGTTAATGACAAAAGATTCAGAAACGGACATGGTTAAAGATCTGATGAGAATTCATTATAGTGTAGTTGACAATGAAATTCAGTTATTTTTGTGACATACATTTTAATAATTAGAATTTTAAGTGATGACATTATATCAGTACATATTACAACTTTAGGAATTTCATATACTTTCTGGAACTGTTATAGCATTTACCCATACAATATAGCCTATGAAGGCTTATCATCATTTGTTTGACAATGCTTGTCATGTAACTTAACATACCAAATAAACAAGTCTGATTGATCAGAAAGACTTCATTTAGAATTTGAATTTCTGGGAAATTTGTTAAAAAACCCAGAAGGTTTTAAAGCACATACCTAACTAGGATCACAGATCACTATAAAATTTAATATTTTATTATCTATTTAACCAAGGTGGTGACAAGAGATTCCAAAGGCAAATATAGGTTATACAGGTATTAGAGAAAGTTAGCTCCTTTAATATTGAGAAGATTCAGGTTTTTTTTTAAGTAATCAAGGACCTGTTTCCAATGACTCAGGTTGCTGCTGTCTCCTTTGTCTGGGATTGTAAAGGAAGAAAGAGAAGCACAAGGACCAAGTATCCAGGGTGGAGATTTAAACAGGGAACAACAGTGTCTGGCATGCCTGACAAACACACCAAACAACCAGGTGAGGCAGAGATTTTTCTTTCAATCTCCCAGATTCTGAACTAGTCTCTGCTGGACCATTCCTTGTTTTCCCAGGCTGGGGCATCCAAGCCTCCGAATGGTCAGGTTGTGTGATCCTTCATCACAGGCTCAACTTGAATAAGTATTGAATCCGCCAGAGTACTCTATTATTCTGGCTTGCCTAGACTTTGTGAGACAACTCTAGTTTTCCTCTAAAAGCTGTGCTATAAAGCCAGCATAACTTATCCCAACTGTGATCCTTTTGAGTAAAAAATACTCAAAGTGGCCTTTGGATTTCAGGTGAGGTCAGAACACTGGGCCAGTGTTCACAAGCACCAAGGTGAGTCCTCCAAGGAGTTGGCACCAGGCCCTGGTAGCTTAAACCAGGTAACTAGAGGGCAGAACCTCAGAAGGACAAGTATCCCATCTGAGTCACCAAATTTGTAATTGAACTAATATGAGTTTGCTCCTTGGTGAGTTACAGATAGAGACTACACCAGGTGGAGTTGTCACACAAAAGAAACTTTATTTGCAGCAAATAAGGAGATCATGGGGAATAACTTTCAAAGCCATGACTCCTCAAGTGGTTTATTACTTCTTGAGTGAACCTTTTTTTTTCAATTGGGAGAGGCAATCTATGATAGGACCTGAGTATCCCTTCAAGTTCTTGTTGGGTATGCCAAGAATACAAGGCCCTGAGCATTCTTTGCCTTGGTCATTTCTCAGTGTTGTGTTTTCAGTGAGCAGCCTAGAAGGATGAGGTAATGTCTGTCCCTTAGACAAAGAGCAGTGGTTCACTATAAAAATGGCAAATACCCTAATCTCAGTGTTTTTGTTCTGTAATGCAGCCCACAGAATGTGTATCTATCTAGGAGTCTCGTGTTTTCTGCCAGCATTCATGAACTAGTAATAGTAATAATAATAATAAATCTCAATTAGCTTGTAAGCAGAGTAAAAATCTAGACCCTCACAGTTCCTGATAGTTTTGGCAATGAGGATGGGTGTGTGCTGTGATATGGGATATGAGAAGATTCCCCAGGATGTAATAGAGAAAGAATGCTTTCTCCCCAGTGATGAGAGGGCCAGTGTGGGAATAAGGATTCTCCACTGCTCTATCTGTTAATGAGACCAGGAATTAGAAAAAGCCTTGTTAAAAAAAAAAAAAGATATTAGGAAGGGAAAAATGAAGGGGGGGAAATCAGAGGGGGAGATGAACCATGAGAGACTATGGACTCTGAGAAACAAACTGAGGGTTCTAGAGGGGAGGGGGGTGGGGGGATGGGTTAGCCTGGTGATGGGTATTAAAGAGGGCATGTATTGAATGGAGCACTGGGTGTTATATGCAAACAATGAATCATGGAACACTACATCAAAAACTAATGATGTAATGTACAGTGATTAACATAACATAATACAATTAAATTTAAAAAAAAAGAAAAAAAAAAAGAAAAAGCCACTCCAAGGTGTTTTGATTGTTGTTGAATCTCTGGGTGGGAGTTTGTAGGGATGTTATATTGACAATGGGGCAGCAAACCCTGGGACTCCAACCAAAATACAATGAATGTTGTGAATGCTGAGTCAAAAGGCCTCCCATAAGGATATAGTGTCAGCACTGAGAATATAGAGCTTTGAGTGGAGCAAAACATTAGAAGTTCACTTGCTGAGCCTGAGCAGGTATTCACTTGAAAACAAAAGTAAATGTAAAGAAATTTCTTTCTCACTCTACACCCCCTGATCACTCTCTTCCATCCCAATCTCAAGTGATTTAGGAAAAAAAACAAAAACAAATATACTGGGGAATTTGTGGGGAGAGGAGGGACTCAAACTTTTATAACTGTTAGATATAAGCACCCAAGTCACCATCTCATCTGGTCCTGTGGGGGTTTAAAAACATTGAGGATTACAGGGAAAACATGCAGCAGCATTTATGGGGGCAAAAAGGGCAGCTGGGCCTGGGCCCTTGCTGATCTCTAGGAGGTTCATGGGGAAGAGACAGCACCAACTCTGGGTTAAGGAGCCAAAGGGAAAGAAGCCTCCCTGCAGCTCAGCTTTACAAAAGATATCTACAAAAATATTGCAGCATGCATCATATCTAAAAATAAAAGAATGGATACTTTCTTCTAAGATCATGAACAAGGCAAGATTGCCAACTCTCACAATTTTTATTCAACACAGTACTGGAAATCCTAGTCAGTAGGTAAGGGAAGAAAAAGAAATAATAGGTACTGATTGCAAAGGTAGAAGTAAACACTTTATTCACAAATGACATGATCATGTATGCATAAGATTTTAAGGAATCTATATAAAAAGCTATTTGAACTAGTAAGGTCACAAGACATAATGTCAATATACAAAAATCAATTGTATTTCTATGTACTAAGCAATAAACAATTGGAAATTGAAATTTTAAAATGTCATTTACAGAAGTATATAAAAACATTAAACATGGATGGGTCAATTGAATAAAATATGTGCAATACCTATACACCAAAAAATACAAAACATTGTTGAGATAAACAGAGAGATATACCATGGTCATGTTTTGGAATGCTCAATGTTTTTTAGATGTTGTGTTAATATTCTATTGTGTGAGAAATTGCCACAAACTCAATGACTTAAAATGACACAAACTTATTATCTCATAATTTATGTGAATCAGGAGTTGAGGCACAAGTTAGGTGGATCTTCTCTGTTCAGGGTCTCACTAGGCTGGCTGAAATCCAGGTGTTGGCCAGGGCTGTGATCTCATCCGAGGTTCAGGGTCCTCTTCCAAGCTCATTGGTTATTGGAGAATTTAGTTCCTTGCAGTTGTAGGACTGAGGATCAGAGAAAGAGTTGCTGATAGGTCCTCTGAAGCACTAGAGCAAATGGGTAAACTGGAACTTTTCAGGGTAATCTAAAAATCCAATTACAGCAAGCAATTAAAGTAGGACTGATGGGGTTTTGGAATATAGGTCAGGTTCAGTGGAGTGAGGTCCAGAGCCGACGGCCAAGAAAGAATTCTTGAGACATCTTTGATGCAAAAAGGTGGTTTATTAAAGCACAGGGACAAGACCCATGGGCAGAAAGAGTTGCCCCAGGTTTGTGAGGGGTGGCTGATTATATATTTGGGAGTTGGGGAAGGTAAGGAAAATGGAGGTTTCAAAAGGATTTTCACATGTTAAAGACTCACAGGATACCAGAGGCCTTGCCATTGTCAAGTTAAGGTTGTTTTTCCCTCTAGCAAGGCTTAATCTTAACATTAAGATTGTTGGGAACTTCCAGGAGGAACATTATACTCTGCCCACTTCAAGTATCTGTTACTGGGCTGCAGGTTATAAGGACATTTAATCTACATTTCCTTCTGGAAGCTAGGTTATTGATAGAAATGCTTTGTTCTTATAAATTGCTAAGACTCTTGTAAACTGAGGGAGACTCGTGTCTTGCAGGATTGTGATCTCTATAAGTTAACTATTTGTTTTTCCTTTCCTTAGCTTTAGGGCAGCCAGGAGTGCCTGAGGAATGTCACATATATCCCACCTGATGGGTGGGTGGGTTGTGAGGTGTCAGCTTTGCTTTGTCCTCAGCTAGCCCTGTGCTCCCTCATCAGGACTTTGAAGTAGGAACTTATGTAGAGGTCTATGGAAAGCTGTTGCCTTTGTGTAAGC